GATGTGGGATAACAACAAAGCAATTAAAGGAGCGTGAATCTAGAAGGGATCCGGAAATTGAAGAAAGGCTGCAGCAACGTGAGGAGGAAATAATAGCTCTTCAAGGTGAAAAAGAAGCTCTTCAAGCTGAAAATGAAGCAATTGCAGTTGAAAAGGAAGCAATTGCAGATGAGAAAGTTGCTTTACAATGTCGTATGGATACAATGGAGGCTAATTTTAGCTTCGAGCTGAGTCTTTTGAGAGAAATGGTCATGGCTCAACAAGTAACAACATCTTTCCCAAATATGTCGCACAACATCCAGAATTCCATCTAGTAAGGTATTTGCATGTTTGCATTAGTTAATTAAGTTGTTCATTGTTGTGAACTAGTTTTTGCGAGCACTTTGTTTGTGAAATATATAACCATGTCCTGACTCCTGTACATGCTTCTTCACATCTTTCCAGTGTCCTTCAAGTTTCCATGTGGCATGTTCTTAGTTTGTTTTTCTTTTGTGTCTCTTCTCCTAAGCTTACTTCTGATTATGGTGTTGCAGTTTTAAAGTGATAATTTTTTTAAAAAAATCTGCCATTTTAGTTTCTCTATGCAAGTTTAGTGGAAGTTCTGATATTTTGTGATACGCATGTCATGAACAGAATCATTGGCCTACCGGAGGAGCTCAATGGACAAGAGGTCATCAACATTCTTAATGAATTTTTGATGTTTTGTTAATATTTTGCTTCGAACAATACTCTTGAAGCTATGTAATGCCTTGTGCATATTTTGTAAAGTTCCTTGTCCGTTTTGTGTATCGACTATATATATATACTTAATCGTATGTGGTTGAATTATTATTGATCTTGTCTTACTACTATATGCACGATGTAGAGTGTTAAATTATAAGAGGTAAAACAGTTTCATAACATGAATTGTGACTATTATTTAATAAAGACAGACCAACCAGATTTCTGGTATCCACTAATCACAATACATATTTATGACCCCAATTATGTCCTCAAAGCCCATTATGCCGACCAATTATGACATTTAGTATTTTCCTCCAACGACAGGAAGCCCGTTGGGAATGATAAAAATATGATAGTAAATAATAGCTTTTACCAGCCGGAAAGGCCCCTCTCGCTATTGATACTACCGACCGGCTGATATAACCCCGTCGTTATTACTTATAACGGCGAAGCCGATAACGGAGGGATTTATCCCGCCGTTATTAACTAATGCCGGCCGTTTTATGGGGTGTAACGACCGTTTTGACCCATCAGCAAAGCCACTTTTTTTTTTGTAGTGCTACAACACATAAAGCATATTGTTTCCCATGTTTTTTGTTTAGAGACAAGATGAATGGGAATCAAACTTCTGCACTAGTCAAAGATGGATTTGATAATTGGAAGAGGGTTAATGGTAAGAAATGTGTGTTCCTTGTTCATGTTGGTTCATCAGCTTCTTCAAGCTATAATAAATGTGTTACAGCGGCTGATGCCTTGATGAAACCCTCCGGTCATATTGATAAAGTGATGCACAGAATTGGTGGAGAAGAAGTTCTAAAGCATCGATTGCGGTTGAAAACAACAATTATGTTTGCCAAATAGTTGGCTTTACAAGGAAGTTCTTTTAGAGGGCATGATGAATCTGATGATTCTTTGAATCCGGGGAATGTTCTAGCTTGGATTGGTTTTGCAGCGAAGTTGAATGATCAAATAAATAGTGTAGTTCTTCGTAACGCACCAGAAAATGCGAAATACACTTCACCAAGCATTCAGAAGGAGATATTGGGAATCATAGCAAATAGAGTGCGTTGTAAGATACGCGAGGAGATTGGAGATTCTTGTTTCTCTATTCTTGTTGATGAAGCAGTTGATGAAGCAGGAAGGGAACAAATGTCTATTATTTTGAGGTATGTCAATTCTTCTGGTATAGTAACTGAACGCTTTTTCGCTCTCAAGAGTGTAGCTGATACTTCTGCAGAAACACTAAAACAAGCTATTTGTGACGTTCTCTCTCAGTATGACCTTCAAATTGAAAAATTGAGAGCTCAAGGATATGATGGTGCTAGTAATATGTCAGGACAGTTTAATGGAGTCAAGGCATTATTTCTTAGAGATTGCCCATATGCCTATTTTGTCCACTGTTTTGCTCATAGATTACTTCTGCAAAGGTATGTGATCCTATATGAGATTTCTTTTCCATATTGGATTGTATCATAAACGTTTTGAAGGCTTCTCCTAAACGGATCAGGGAGTTGCAAGAAATTCACAAAAAAGATCTTGATGGTATGTTGGATTTTGGAGAAATTCAATATGGACAAGGAGCTAATCAAATGACATCCTTAAAGCGTTCGGGGCCAACTCGTTGGGGATCTCATTATAATTCCATATTGAGCATTATAAACATGTTCAATGCAACATGTGTAGTGCTAGAGGATCTTTGCCGTTCTAAAGAAGGAGAACAACGAGCTCAAGCCAGAGGTGCTTCAAAAAATATCAAGACTTTTGAGTTTGTGTTCAATCTTCACTTGATGAAAAGGATTATGGATATCACGGATTTTCTTTGTCAAGCATTTCAACAAGAATCTGTTGACATTGTAGCTGCAATTGGATTTGTTTCCATGGCAAAAGTTAAACTTCAAAAGCTATGGGATGAAGGATGGGACAAGCTACTCCAAGAGGTAAAATCTTTTTGCTCAAAACATGCCATAGAGGTACCTAATATGAATGCTACACTTGGACGTGGTGAGAAGCAAACAACTCTTGAGCACCGCTACCATTTTGAATACTTTAATCAATGCATAGATTTTCAGTTGGAAACATTGAATTCAAGATTCAATGAGTCATTAGTCAGATTGCTTCAGTTGAGTGGTGCACTAGACCCTAAAAGTTCTTTCTGGTATTTTGATGACGAAAATATTTACAGACTTGCTGAAGAGTTTTATCCTCGAGACTTTGAAGGAAATGAGATGAATTGTTTGAAGAATGAGCTAGGATATTATGCCGATCATGTGGTTCATAGTCAGGAATATGATGTTTCTTCCCTTGCAAAATTACTAGAGAAGCTGGTGGAAACAGTGATGGACGCACGGTACAGATTGATTTGTCGGTTGATTCGTCTAGTATTGACATTGCCTGTTTGAACGGATACTACAGAGAGATCCTTTTCAGCAATGAAACATGTGAAGACTGATTTGCGCAGCAAGATGGGCGATGAATTTCTTGCTGATTGCTTAACTATTTTCTTTGAGAGAGAGTATGTTATTGGTATGGATGAAGACTCAATTATTGACAAATTTGCTAAATTAAAAGACCGTCGTGTACAATTGACATTGTAATGCAAACTATTATTTTTTTTTGTTTACGGTATCTAATTTTATGTTCGAATCCGGCCCAGTGCACTTCTATATCCTGGATCCGCCGCTGATGCCAAGTGCACTGGCAATAGCCATTTCTGTCCATATTGTCACGGGTCAGTGAATCAATAAATTCAGGCAATGCATGGTGTGTTTTTTTTTTTTTGAATTTGCAATGGATTGGATGGCTATGCGATATACTTACATATATGTTGTTATATATATGTGCAATCCCATCATTCATGCATGCTAAATATGTCTTTCTTGCACAGCGCGTTTGATGGGTAATATACTGTTGTTTCCATGTTTATGGTTAATAACACGGTTTGAGAAAGAGAGAATGACTGGAAACCAATTTGGTGATCGGATAATCAATTCGGGTTGGTTAAGTGATATCAAATACTTTTGTGGTATTTGAGATGAGAAGAGTTTGGAGTAATTCAACTTGTTTGAATTTGGAATAATCCACGTTGAATTCTAAAAAAGAAAAAGTTTGTCACCAAATTTTTTTATGAGTTTCAATTTTGATGCTTGCAAGATCAATGCAACAATTTGGTTTATGTAACAAAATTGTTTGAGTTGTGATCTTAAAGTAAATTGAAATAATGGTGAAAAGCATTTTCCCGACATGATAATTTGTTTATCATGTAGTGGTTTATGAATTAATGTTTGATATGTCATGAGGGCAAGGAAAATGAAACTAAGATGAAGACTTATTGGGATTGAATAAGCTTGCCAAAGAATGACGATCATCAATTTCTAATAATCATCGTCATAATTGTTTATGGTATATGTACACTATATATACCATTGGAAAACAGTTCACTATGATAAACACAGAAGTCTGCAAGATTGCTGCTTCCAGACTTAGAATTGAAGGGACTCCTGAGGGTGTTTTGCTCGAGCCTACCAACAATTTGTAGTGGGGGCAAATAACACTCTAAAGAGAGTGATCTAATCACATCTTAATCCATTCTTTCCTACACTTTTTATTATTCTTACTCTTATATATTAGATTTAAATTCCAAAAACTCTAGTTTAGAGTAGGGCATGGCGGCATATGTAATTTCCGCATGCACGATGGAGCAACTCCTCCCTTAATAAGAATGCTTGTCGGTGTTTAGCCGCCTTCAGGGCTGCTGCCTACTAAGTCGACGCAACAAGTTTTCCTCATCAAACTATTGATTGATTGCATGTTCGCTTCCTTTTCTGCATGCACAAATGACGGATCAACGCATCCCTAATAAGAAATTAAAGCCTGTTACTCTGTAACCACCTTCCTGGCGGCTCCTGCCTGCAACAAGTTTTTCTCATCAAGCTACTGGCATATGTTAATGTCTCCTCCTAATAAGAAAGCCGGTTGATGTCTAACCACCTTCCTGGTGTTATAAATCAAATGGTCCAAATAACTCGAGTTATTGAAAGAGCTCTATATCTGATACTTAATCATTTCCTTGTACGTTCCTTCAAATAAAAGCCAACTCATGAGTTTAATATTTGCATAAATTTGTGGCCTACTATAAAATTCTTGTCCTTTCCTCGTCACATCCATTCACATTTTGTTGTCCTTCTCTATTCTGCTTCATGTTTTCTTTCTTTCACTAATCCATCAATCAAAACACTAACTATCTCCTCCTAATTCAAGCTGCCAATAGCTTAGCCCACATGGAGCTTCTTCTTCAAGTACTCCCTGCCACCATGGATCACTCCTCCAGCTACCCGACGGTCCTCATCGTCCTCGCATCCTTGCTCGCCCTCTTCGTCTTCTCGAGGTACCGGAAAAGTAGACTCGTCCTCCCTCCGTCGCCGCCGGTGAAGCTGCCCCTGATCGGCCACATGCACCACCTCGCCAGCAACCCCTTGCCACACCGCGCCCTCAGGGACCTGGCCCAGAAACACGGGCCCGCAATCATGCACCTCCAGCTGGGCCAGGTCCAGACAATCGTTGTCTCCTCGGCCCAAATCGCCGAGGCCATCCTGAAGACCCATGACGTCAACTTTGCCCAGCGGCCTCCCGTGCACTCGGCCAACATCCTCGCATACGGCTGCACCGACATCGTTTTCGCGCCGTATGGTGACTACTGGCGCCAGCTGCGCAGGTAGCGGTGACAATTTTTTTTTTTTTTTTTACCGCAATTCTGTATTCAATCCATTAAGATATCCCATCCATTTAATTTAAATACAAATGGATTTGATGGAACGGATCCAAATCCAATGAATATTTGAAAAATTGAAGTTTTGTTTTATATTTTAATACAAAATTCTTATGTTTATCGTAAAATATTTTTGTGAAATTATGTTTTGGTACCTAATTTTTGCTGTCATGATATTTTAGCATATAAACTTTTTAAAATTTAGATATTGCTCATAGATGTCACTTACATACATAAAAATCTCATCCATTTATCAAATTCATCAATCCATTTAATCCATATTCATGTATTCACCGTTCACAAATTCATGAATTCGATCTATTTGCCATCTTTATTCGCAGGATATGCACCATCGAGCTCTTCAGCGCCAAGATGATCAAGTCATTCGGTTCCATCCGAGAGGACGAAGTTTCGAAGCTGGTCGCCGCCGTATCGGCGGCGTCCTCGTCGGCGGCGGGGGTTGACTTGACCGCCATGTTTTGCAAGTTGACTTACAGCATCCTTTCCAGGGCCGCGTTTGGGGAGGTGCGAGAAAGCAGTAGTAGTAGTGAGGCTTTCTTGCCGCTGATTGATGAGATTACCCGAGTGGCCTCGGGTTTTAACATAGCGGATCTCTATCCTTCGTTCAAGTTTCTGCAAGTCCTCACTGGGGTGGCTTCAAAGTTGAACGTGCTCCATGAAAAGGCGGATAAGGTGCTTGAATCCATCATAGCCGATCATCGAGCTCGCATTGGTCATATGAGGAGGCCGGGTGAAGAAGCAGAAGAAGAGACGGCGGCGGATCTTTTGGATGTGCTTTTGAAGCATCATGAGGGCGAAGGCAATATGGGATTCTCATTAACTACTGACAATATCAAGGCGGTCCTAGTGGTAATTAATTATTACTTTCTATCATCGTCTTGCTTTAAAAAAACATAGTTAGTTGTTAATTCTAAGAAATCATGGAAGTTGTATATTTTTTTTAGTTACTTCATTAGTTTTCTTATTATTAAGTGTTGGTTAAGTTAATAATGATTTAAACGGAAGTATAAGTGTTATAGAACAAATTGCTTTTTTCCCCCTCTCTAACGCCGGACACGCTTAGGCAATGACTATATATGAAAGCTAAGTACTAGACAAGACCCCAACGTTCGCTTTACAGTTAGCGAGAAGTTTTTTAAACGTAAAGAAAAATAGTGTGACATGACAAGTTATAAGCAAATTAAGAGGAGAAAAAAATATAAAAATATATTGGTAATATAATTTCATGGATGAGTTATGCAAAAATGAAGTGAGAAAGTATTGTAGAAAGTGAGTACGAGATTAGGTCATAGACTCTTTTTAATGAAATTATTATAACGGATACCACAATCATTTTTTTACTAAAAACAAGAAGAAAGCAACTTATAATTGTTTTATCGTTTTCAACTAATTTCTGTTGTCTTTGTCAATTCCTATTTTCATAACTACAAATGGAAACAAAACTATATATGTTTTCAGTATCATGTAAAAAGAAAGAAAGAAAAAAATACTAGGGCTTTCACTTATCCCTTAAACATCGGGCTCCCCAAAATATTTTTAACTAGAGGCTAATTAGTAGTAATTACCAACCAAGCTGATTAGTGATCACGCTTAATTTATATTCTTATCAGGACCTATTCTTTGCCGGCACCGAGACAACGGCAACGAGTTTAGACTGGATCATGTCGGAACTAGTGAAAAACCCACGAGTGATGCAAAAAACACAATCCGAGGTGAGGCGGGTGTTTGGACCCCAAGGCAAGGTGGATGAAGCAAGGCTTCATGAGCTCACATACCTAAAGATGGTGATACGAGAAAGCATGAGGCTCCACCCTCCGGTCGCCGTGCTGCTTCCGAGGACCGGTGCCGAAGACTGCGAGATCGGCGGCTATCACATACCGGCCGGTTCCAGCATCATGGTCAACGCATGGGCAATCGGAAGGAACCCAGAGTACTGGACCGATGCAGAGACGTTCTGGCCGGAGAGGTTCCTCGAGAGCTCGGTCGATTATAAGGGGGCGCACTTCCAGTTGCTTCCCTTCGGAGCTGGAAGGAGGATCTGCCCTGGAATGTCGTTTGCTCTGGCTAATCTCGAGCTTCCGCTGGCGCGATTGCTATATTATTTCGATTGGAAGCTTCCGGATGGACAGGAAAATGAGTGCGTCGACATGACCGAGACATTTGGCGCGACCGTGAAGAGAAAAAACAAACTATTCTTGATTCCTACCGTTGCTTCGTCGCCCGACGGAAACTAATGGATTGCTAGCTTATCTGGAAAAGTCATATCAGTATTTGCAATGTGTAGTACATTATGCGGTTGTTTCTATGGATGTTCAAACGGTTTGATTAATTTGGATATCGGTTTGGTTAAATTTTTTTAGCTTATTTGGTTTAGTTTTATACACTCCAAACCAATTAAACCAAATTAATTAGTTAAGTGATTTGCCATATATCTCATAAATCTACACAATAAATAAAAGCCAAATGAGAAAACTTGAAGCCCCATTTCAAATTTCCTGCATCCAGAGTGAAAGTAGGAAGGACATTTTGGTATTCACAATTACTTTTTTTTATTCATTAAAAAGACACTTACTAGGATTCGAACCATGACCATTTTAAAGAAAAACAAAGATCATAACCAATCACACTAAGTACATTTGTTGTATCTTTTTAAATTAAAAACATATAATTGCAGAGAGGAAAAAACCATTCCCCCATTTCAAATTCCCTGCTCCAGGAGCGTTTGTAGGAAGAGTAGAGTAGGGAGTGCCAATTTTTTTCTTTTTCCTCTGTGGAACGGGCCAACTTACCGTACACATGCGGATTTAAACGGGTCCAGGAGTGTCAATTTTTTTCTTTAAGTCCTTTTATTTCTCCGTAGTGGTAAACTATATATATGAAAAGGAAAAAAACAATACTCCTTTTTATTGCTAAAAAGAAAAAAATAATAACAATAAACTAATGCATGGATTCTAATGGGCTAACCGCTAATAATAAAATAAAAGAGTTGAATGGGTCTGACCTACACGAGATTTGCCCATCAAGTAAAACAAATGAACATCATGGGTTTGCCATTCTAAAACAAACTATTTTCTCTAGCATAATATATATTATACTATTATTTTATATCTTAGTGGCTAAAATATAATGGATTTTAAAGTTATTCAATGGTACAACCTCGACCAACTCAAGTACTCCAATTTTTATCATTTCAAATATATATTATGTAATTATTTGATATCATAATGATTAAATTATAGTGTATATTATAGGGAATGGTTTGGTATTTGTTAGTTAAAAACTAAACAGAAAGATCTATTTGGTTATTTTTAACATTAAAACGATCCTAAACATTTTCAGTTTCCTTTCGAAATTCTATAGTTTATTCCCGAATCAGTGATGTGCAAATGGTGAATTGCAGTCATCTCTTTTCTTTCATTATTTTTTATTTTCAAATATAAAGTTTAAAAGTAAAGAATAATTAGAGTTTGACATGAGTCGGTCAAACAGGCTGAATTTCAAATTTTTGCCCGTTTTGATCAAGTCTAATTTATAATCACATGGTTCCCTGATACTCTATAAAAATCTCAATCCAAACCAGTTTGGCAGGTGAGTCCGTGTTTACCACCATTTTCTAGGGATACAGGAAAGTTGGTTCCTATCCCAAATCGTGCTGTTCATTCTTGATTTCTTTAGATTTTATCATGGCTTGACAAAAAACCAGAAAGCACAATGATGAGAAGATGAAAGTTTTATAAAGCAAATTAATCGGCCAACGGGCCGAGTAAAAGCTAGCAACTATTGATGCTCATTTCCCGAAAACCGGCGGGATAGGCGATTTTTTAATCGATTTTCTGGAATTCGGTTTCTATAAAACTTACTCGACCTCATCATATTACCAGAAACAATATTGTTTCACAAGGTAACAGGTACTTGATTTTGGTTCATAAGGCTGATTTTTGATTCGTTGCATCATTCATGTCTCTTTTCTACTAAAATTCACTATTTTTATCACGTGTTTCCCAATAAAAAACTATACAACAATAAGCTATACACCCCATTACATTATCAAATTTCATGCCTCATCTTCGTCCGGCCAAATGGTCGGGGCCCACGCTAGTATTATATACTTTGCATAACAACTCAAATGTCAAACGTTCCTCCTAAGCACATAAAAAAACGAAGTGCAATATTGCTATATTTGTGTTTGTAGAGTGTAGACTACCACATATGAAATCCTAATTTACATAAAACTCATACAATATGTTGGATGCAAACTTGAAAGGAATGTCTTTTCAGTCTATGTTAACTGCTAATAGAATAAATCAATTCACAAAACACAACAATTCATTAACCCCATAACATTGACATATATTTTTGTTACGAGAATACTTAAGATAATGGCCAAATACACTTGTATAGCCAAAACTTTGACGGTTTTGCCAAATATAGCCACTTTTGGCGAAATACCAAAAATAGCCACTTCCGTCCAATTGTTTTACGGTGTTAGTTAACGTGCTAACTGGACTAACAGAAAATCTGACGTGACAACATGTCATAAATAACAATGCCACGTGGATTTAGCTTTAAAATATAAAAATGAAATAAAAATAAAAAGTTTCCCTCTCTCCCTCATCTTCTCCCCCGATCCCTGTACAATTAATCGAGAAACCCCATTCTCCGTCGGCCAAAAAACTTCCCTAACCCCCACTCCCAACAATCTCCTCCGTATTTTCGCCGCCACCGTAGCCGCCGCTTCCGATGATGACGCCCCCACCGCCGCCACAGATGATTTCGCAAGAGCAATCACATGCTCCGCCTCCGTCGCCGTGGCAGATTTGATGTCTGCTGCGATCGATTCATCATCGGAGACGGTTTTCTTTGATTTGAAGCTGAGGGTCTTGTCCATGGCAGCCTTGGTCGACACCGCCTGCACCTCGGAGACGCGTATTTACTTGCCCGACACCAGAAATCGTCCTTCTACCAGCGTCGTTATCCGGGAAGAGATTCTGGGCGATATCGGACATCGGAAGATCTAATGGGATTTCCAGATCTGTTTCCACACGCCCGTCCCTTGATGGCGAAGTCCAACGATCTGGTGCAGGGCGACGATTGCGGAGAGGGAATTGGAGAGATCAGCCGATGATGGATTCTCGTCTAATTTTAGCCTCTGCGATTTATTCAACGATGAGAATCTTAGATCTGGTGATAGGAATTTGGATTTTCGACTAAATTTTTCAATTAGGTATTCAGTAAAGTTTGTGTCTTTTTCCTTTTTGTAGATTGCAGTGGTTGTAAACTTGTAATCCTCCATCTATGGCGAGTAGTTCGGTGGATGAGGCTGGGGAAAAAAATTGATTATTGTATTTTTATTATTTTTTATTTATTTTTAAATTAAAATATGACGTGGCATCCATGTACCAAGTGTTGGTGAGTTGTCGATGATGTCTCCGGTGAGTTGGCAGCCAGATCATCGTTCCGTTAACAAGACTAACGGTGTCACTGACGTCATCAAACTATGTAACGGAAATGGCTATAATTGTCATCCAACTTTCAAGTTTCTAGCTATTTTTTATGGGGTCGTTTGGATGGAGTATTTGTATGAGTTATTTGGGTTCAAATAACTCACATTGAGTTATTTGGGCACAAATAACTCGTTTGGTAACGTTTTACCGAAATGAATTATTTGGACAGTGAGTTATTTACAAATAACACAAAAAGAGTTATTTGAAATAACTTATACTCACGTGTAATTTCGAAATAAATCGTTTTATCATTCTGCTTTTACCAAATACCACATGTCGAATACCACATTTGCATGGTTCAACCAAACGAGATACTTTATTTCAATTACCATTGAAATAATACTGAAATATCACATGAATAATAAATGAGTTATTTGACTCTAAAAATACCACATTGACAATTAACCCATCCAAACGACCCCTATATTTCCCCAAAATTGGCTATTATTGTCACAAACGTCAAAATTTTGGCTACACAGATGAATTTAACCTAAGATAATTGTATTAGTTACATGTATTATTAGATATATTAATTGGCAAGTTTTACTTAAGGGTTTACTACTATGTTTGCAAGTTTACATTAAGTGTTGGGCCAATAATCAAGATTTACGGCCCCATGCCCATGACTCGCCAAAAAGCCCATTGAGCAATTGGGTCATGCCCAAACGAGCACGGAAGGCGGTCTTCCTCGAGGCACCTAAGCCAGAAGGCCGCCCGACATCCTGTCAACGGAACTTCAGAGAACAGCCCGACAGGCAGGACAAACGACCCTCTAAACACTTGGTACGGAGACTGGCGGAAGTACGAACCTGACAGTCTCAGAGGGTCAGAGCTCAGGCAACCCCGACCGCCCGACATAGAATTAAATGCCTTCACCTCAGCTCTCGCTGATATAAATACCCATCTCGGATCACATTTATGGTAACTCCTATCGACTACATTCTCTCTTATTTACTCCACATCTACTTCTCTCTCTAACTTGAGCATCGGAGGAGGTCCCAGGAAACCCCCTGTGGACCTTTCTTGCAGGACTTCGAGGGCTGCCTCTCACCTACGAAGGACCGCACGAAGCCAGTGAAGCCTCACAAAACCGCCTGGTACGAACCAGGCATAAACATTTTGGCGCCCACCGTGGGGCCTCACGACTTCGTCGCCAAAAAAGGATGGGAGACGACTTTGAAACTCCTCTCAAAGGAATGACCGAGAACAACACCCTCCGAGGTCTATCGCCGAGAGTTGAAGATGAATCCAAGCTCGAGGAGGTAGTCAAAAGTCAAGGCTTGCAAATCGCAAGCATGCAAGACAGCCTGTCACAAATCCTCCAACTCTTGAAGACGAAGAAAGACCCTCCCGAGGGATCGAGGGGGAGGACGCGAGAGGAGATGCAGAAGGCCACCTTGATTCTCGACATCCCTGCTCGGACAGAAGGTGGAGGACCGGAGGCAGAAGATGTAGACCTTGGCTTTCTCGAAGAGCATTTACGGTCGACCTACGGGAAACACAAGAGTCCAAATGTTCTTCAAAACCCACTCTCCAAGGAGCTGTTCAAGACCCCAGTACCGCCAAACTTCTCCTCCTTGGACTACCTACGTACAGCGGGACTTCAGATCCCGCGGACCACCTTTGTGCCTTCATGCTGAAAATGCAACTCATCAACACTTCAAACTCCGACTTGTGCCGGGCGTTCCCTGTCACCTTCAGCGGTCAGTGACGGATGTGGTATACCTCCC